GGAGAACAAAAAAAAAAAAATAACCTGAATGTGTTTCATTCACACAGTGACTGGGGGGGAATTCTTCCTCAAACAAAGAAAATCGCCCCCCCCCATCGTGGGTCATGCTCCGACAACAAACTAACCCTCCCACGCCATTTTTTTTTTTTTCCCCCCCCAAAGGGGGGGGGGGGCCCCCCCGTCCCGTTCGCGGCGGGGTGGTCATATAGGGGGGCATCTCGGGCATACTCCTCGCGAGAACATGCGTCGTTCGGCCAGCTGTTCCATCATTTCGATGAAGCGCTTGCCGTCGTTCTTGAGTAGGTCATCCGCAACGGTGAGTATGCCACCTAAGTTCATGTTACCATAACTGCAGAGGAGAGAGTCGAGGAGCTGCATACCCTTGACTTGTAGGCTGTTACCGAAAGTCAGGAAGTCAGCCATGTCGCGGTCATGAGGATGGACATCTTCTGGAGGTTCGTCTTCGCTATAGTCGTCGTCCTCGTCAACATCCCTCTTCGTCTTCTTCTTCGTCGTCCTCCTCGCCCGCTATAGTCAAGTTCCTCGTCGTCTTCGTCATCCCCGACGTGTTCAACTATGCGACCCCGTGACGGCGGTTGCCTTGCGTAGGCACTCGCTATGCGGCCGCGTATCGGGAAGTCGCGCGGCAGCGGAAGGACCATCGGCTTGGTTGGCAAACTGTTCGAACTCCTCATAGTACGCGTCGTACAGGCCCTCCAGCTCCTCTTCTATGGCGGTACGCTAGCGGCCGCAGACGGTGCAGCTGCACGTGTGCTTTTGCTGTTCCTTCATTTTGCGCAGCACAGCGTCCTTCTCGACCTTGACCAACGACTTGCGATCCTCCTCACCGAGGCCTAGCCAAAACTCCTTGATCCGCTCTCGCTCCTCCTGCGAGCTCGTGTTCCAGATCTTCTCCTTGGAGATACCAGGGCCTCGTGGTGGGAGCGGGTGGGATTCTGTGGCAGGCGGCGGGACATTGGCTGACTGGGGATCGTCGGCAGTGGCTTGCGCGACGCCGTTCTTCTTCTTCTTCTTCCTGGACTTTTTTGACTTGCCAGACGTCGTGCCGTTGGTATTGGCGTGATTGTCTCCTTCCCTATCCTCCTCCTCATCGGTCGCTTCGGGCTCCACTTCATGTTGGCGAGTGGATGGGCTGGGCTTCGGCGCGGCGGAAGGCGTGGTCGGAGGCACGGGCTCAGACGTTGTGTTCGTCGCAGCTGCCGCCTGCTCGGCAGCGGCCTTGGCAGCAAGCTTTGCTCGCCTCTTCTGCTTTTTACGATTGACCGCTGGGGCGGGTTCCTGATCGACGGGACTGGTCCCGTTCGTCGCTGGTAACACGGGGGCCTTGGTCGTGGTTGTCGGCGTGGAGGGTTGGGAAGCATCGGTGCTTTGAGCAGACTTGGGTACGGTGATGATCTTTGAGCCATCTTTGTTCGTGTACCTGGCCGTGGCCTTGGCGTTAGGCGATGGCGGAGGCTGCGCCGCCGGCTGGCGTTGGTTGGCAGGCATATCAGGAGTCTGCCGGGGAGCAGGTTGAGGACGTTGATACCATGGGCAGGTCAAGCAGCTGGGCTGGTGTGGAGAGAGCGAGAGAGTGAGTAAAAGGGAGAGAAGGTGCCAGGTCTGTGGGGCTAGAATGATAGAGAGGGCAGGTTAGCGAAGATGTCGTCACAGGGTTGGGTCGAATTCGGGTGGTGGTTAGGCAAGGAGGGCAGTCGGGATCCCGGGGCTTGTTGCGGATCGCGAGTCGGAGTGTTCGCCGAATAGAACGCGTCGTTGTACTAAGCAGCAAAGACTACTAAGCAGCAGAGACAGGTGGGCAGGGCAAGGCGTAGGCCTCAGGCAGTGGAGTGGCGGGAGGGTTATACTGCGGCGTGAGGGATGACGAGGCAGAACTCACTATAGCGGCGAAATGCAAGAATGAGAGGGGTGGCGGCGAGGCAGGAGGTAAGGCTGCAAGTCGCGTCGATCGAGGCAAGAGGGGCGCGCGTCGAGCGATACCGAGTGGCGTGGGATAGTGGTCGTCGAAGGCGGGAGGTCGTTCGCGATGTTGGTCGCCGCGGTGCAGTTGGTACACAGTCAAGGTAGAGAGGTTGTCCTGTCCTAGGTGGTGCCTCTTTGGTCCGGGGGGCAAGGCGGAAGTCACTTTGCTGTGTAATCTAGCGGGAGGAGTACCTGGGTTCGACCAGGAGTAGGGCCTTCCTGCAGGTGCGAGGCACTTGATCAATCAGATTTCGAGGCTGCGAATTTGGTGCGAGTCACGTGGTACGCTTTGGTGACGACGGAATTGGACGATTCGCATGGGCAAACGGGCAGGTAGTCAGTCAGGCCTGAGGCATGTTTCGAGTGAATGGATACTGATTATGTAACTCCGAGACGTCATCCTCAGTGTCGCCGTGCCAGCCCGGATCGGAACCCAGGCATCGGAACCCAAGCGTCGGGCCATCAAGGTTGGATGCGCTAACCCAACAGTTTGGTCCTT